CAACCAGAATACCACATGCATCAAGAGACAGGACATTCCAACCCCCAGCAACCTCTCTTGGCCCCTCTGATCCCTGCCTGCTCCTAAGAGTAACCCCTCTTACCTGGCAATGTGAGGGGGGAGAAATAATGCCCTCCTTAACGACGTCTGCATCCTAATCCCGGAACCTGGGGGTACATGCTACCCCTTGTGGCAAAGGGAAACCGAGCTTGCAGGTGGAATTAAGGTTGCTAGTTGGTGGGTCTTTGGGGGGCGGGGGATGTAGTAGCTTCTCCTGGGTGGGCCCCTATTCTGGCCTCCAAAGCCACTTCCTGTCTGGGAATCCACCCCACCCCACCCCACCCCCGCCCTTGCCATCTCACCTAAAATAAAACTGAGGGCCATAAAACTCCCAGACTTCACAAGATCAAGTGGAAAATGGTACAGCCATTCCAGAATGCAGTTTGGTAGTTGCTCATCAAGGAAAATATGCAGCGAAAGTAAAAAAGTGAAAGTGTCAGTCACTCTGTCCTGTCCGATACTTTGTGACCCCCATGGATTCAGGCAAGAATACTGGAATGGGTTGCCGTTCATTTTTCCAGGGGATCCTCCTGACCCAGGGCTCAAACCCAGATCTCCTGCATTGCAGGCAGATTCTTTACAGTCTGAACCACCAGGGAAGCCCAAGTATGACCAGGTAATTCCACTCCTCCAGACAGACCCAGGAGACAGGAAGACGTCAATTCACACAAGACTGGGACATGAATGTTCTGAACAGTTTTGCTTTTAACTACCCCAAACTGAATGCATCTCAGATGCCCATCAACAAGTGAATCATAGACTTGCTTGGTGGTCCAGTGGTTGATTTGATCCCTGGTCTGGGAGGATCCCACATACTTTGGAGCAACTAAGTCCATGGGCCACATCTACTGAAGCCCATGTGCCCTAGAGCCTGTGCTCCTCAACAAGAGAAGCCACTGCAATAAGAAGCCTGTGTACTGCAGTTAGACAGTAGCCCCCGGTCGCCACAACTAGAGAAAAGCCTGCGCACAGCAACAAAGACCCAGTGTAGCCAAAAAAATAAATAAAACAAATACATTTAATAAATTAATAATAATTAAAAGTTAAAAAAACAAGTGAATGACAACCAACTGTGGTATATTCATTTAGTGGGGCTTCCCTGGTAGCTCAGATGGTAAAGAATCTGCCTGCAATGTGGGATCCCTGGGTTCAGTCCCTGGGTTGGGAGAAGGGAATGGCAACCCACTCCAGTATTTTTGCCTGGAGAATCCCATGGAAAAGAGCCTGACAGGCTAACAGTCCATGGGGTCACAAAGAGTCGGACACGAGTGAGCAACTTTCACTGTTCATTTAGTACCAGCAATTTGAGAATTGAAGCTACTGAACTTGCAACAACAGAGGTGAATCTTGAAAATATTATACAAGTGAAAGAAGCTAGACACAGAGATGGGGTTTGTGATTCCATTTATATGAAGCTCTGAAACAGACAAAAGTAACCCCCAGTGGAAAAAACAAAACTGGAGCAGATGTTACCTTTGGCTGGTGGAGATGGAGGTAGACTGAGAAGGGGCTGAGGGAGAGAGAGAACCTGATGGAGGGAGGGGAATGTTTGTGGCTGGAGGTTGGTTTGCACAGGTGCATGTATTGGTCAAAACTCAGCAGTTGTGCAGTTAATGCTGATGCATTGTGCTCTAGTAAATTTTACCTTCAAAGAAAAAAAACACATAAGTCAATATTGAACTCTAGTTAATGATCTGCGTGCTGAAATGTTTAAGGGTGATGTGACTTGACGTCAGCTAGTTTTTTAAAATATTTATTGAAGTATGGCACTAGTGGTGGTGGCAAAGAATCTGCCTGCCAGTGCAGTAGGTGAAGAAACTTGGGTTCTGTCCCTGAGCTGAAACGATCCCCTGGAGGAGGAAATGGCAACCCACTCCAACATTCTTGACTGGAAAATTCCCCAGGCGGGGGAGCCTGGTAGGCTACTGTCCACATGGTCGCAAAGATTCGGGCACATGGTTGATCTTCAGTATTGTGTTAGTTTCCAGTATACAGCACAGTTATACACTCAATTCTTTTTTAGATTCTTTTCCATTACAGGTTATTACAAGAAATTGAGTAGAGTTCCCTGTGCTTTTCAGTAGTCCTTGTTGGTTATCACTTTTATATATAGTAGTATGTATATTTTAACCCCAAACTCCTAATTTATTCCTCCCCCTAAGCTGCTTATTTTGTGGTTTTCTGTTTGCTTTTAATGCAAATTACTTTATTATAAATAGTATACCAATTATATACTAATATCACAGGATTTTACAATTTAACAAATAGTTATAAAAGTACATTTAGAAAAGAAATGCCAAAGCATTAAAAGGTAAGATAAAAAGACAGCAAATCAAGACGTGGTAATGGTGTAAAGATGGAAATGTAGATAAGTGCAACAGAAGAGAAAATTCCATAAATAGATTTCTAAATATAATAACTTTTAAAAGCTAAAACACTTACTGAAACAAGATAGGAAAGGTGAGTTACTAAGTGGTACTTAAAGAACAAATTGAGAAAAAAATTCTGATTCCCAGCTTAGTTGTCCCAGCCAAATAAACTCTAAGTCTTAAATATACCCATATGTGCATGTGCATATATAAAATCACATGGTAGAAATTGTAGTAATAAAAGTAGAATATGTATTAAATTGGAGGGTAAATCACAATCTCTGAAGCAGCAGATAAAATCTTGAGAATAAGTCTTTTTTAAAAAATCATATTATTTAATCTTGAAAGAAGTAAGGTGTTTGTCGCTTAGTCATGTCCAACTTTCTGTGACCCCATGGGCCCCAAAGCCTGCCAGTTCCTCTGTTCATGGGATTTACCAGGCAAAAATATGGAATGGGTTGCCATTTCCTCCTCCAGGGGATCTTCCCAGCTCAGGGATGAAACCCAAGTTTCTTGCGTCTTCTGTATTGGTAGGTGGATTCTTTACCACTAGTGCTATAGTCTGAACCTGGGTCTCCTGCATTGCAGGCAGATTCTTTAACATCTGAGCCACCAGGGAATGTTGTCTTAAGATTAAAACAACATTAAGAGGAGCTGATTCTTTTGTTGGTTCTCTGCTGTCGTAGACTTTGGGGTGATAAAAGTTCTCCTGGGCTGAGGAAGAAGCCACGCTGTAGTCCCCCAGCTGTTTTCTGAAGTCCACCCAGAAATGCACTGGTGGGTGGATAGAGGGATGGATGGATGCATGGGCAGATGTGTTATAAAGCAACAGAGCAAAACACGAATGGTAGAGCCTAGTGGTGGGTATACAGACACTCACTGTAAATTTGACTTTTCTGTAAGATGTTGGAGGAAATCATCTTGATTCCTCCTCACAGTCCGCAGACCCTGCATGACCTGCCCCCATCCCCTTCCTGCCCTCACCTCCTCCCACTCTCTCCCCTTGCTCACTCTGCTCCAGCCACAAAGGAATCCTTGCTGGTCCTCCCTTACTCAGTGTTGCTCAGTCCTGCCTCAGGGCCTTTGCACCTGCCACTCTGCAAAGTCCCTCCCAGCCCCGCTCCCACCACCACTACCCACTTCTGAACATACCCAAGGCTTCCTCATCTCTAGGTCTCAGCTCAGATGGTGTTTCCTTAGAGACTTTCCATGATAAATCACATCACCCTGTTTCTACCAGGCCCCATCACAATGTGTTGTCTCATTTATATACGAATCTATTTCCTTGTGGGCTGGCTGCTTCCCCCTGCTGGGCTGTGAGCTTCATGGGGACAGGAATGTGTCTGCTTTGTTCCCTGCTGTGTCTCCAGCATCCAGCCTCAGGCTCTGGCATGTATAAACCACTCAGAGAACATCTCATGGATGGATGGGTGGATAGGTAGGTAGACAGATGGATGGATGAGTGAATGGGTGGGTGGATGAACAGATGATAGATGAGTTAATGGATGGGTAGATAGCTGGATGCAAAGATGTAAAGGTGGGCAGGCACATGGCTGGCTGGGCTGAACAGATGAATAGGTGGGTGGAGGGATGGATAGATGAGTAGATGGACAGTGGGTGGGTAGATGAACAGACAGGTAGATAGACAGGTGGGTTTGGATGTGTGGACAGGTGGATGGATGGATGGGATGATGGACAAGTAGATGGGTGGATGGATAGGTGAATGGATGGATGGATGAACTCATACATGTACAGGTGGGCAAGCAAATTATATGGCTGGATGGATGAATAGTTGAATAGGTGGACTGAACAGATGAGTAGATGGATGGGTGGTCTGATGGATGGACGGATGGATGGAGGAACAGACTTTGCAAGTGGGGACCAGTATGGGGATTGGGGCACTTGTTTTAAATCTTGGGAACCAGAGAAGCTATTTGGGCTCCCTGGGACAGCTGGGCCCCACAGCAGCTCCCCAGCAGCTCTTGGTGGAAAGCTGCCCCACCCTGACCATTGTTCCATTATCTGGCAGCAAGCTCGGTCAGACTGTAGGCACTCTTGCCCAGCTGCAGCCAGGAGAAAGTGAGTGAGATAGCTGGCATTCACACCTCAAGGAGAGTCCATGCGTGGAAGGATGGCCAGGGAGGGAATTGTTGATTCCTTAAATCTTTCATCTTTGGGCTGTTTCAGAGGAACCTCCCCGCAATGACAGAAAACCTTCCCGGCTGCTCGAGAGCTCTAGGTCATCAGCCTAATCAGTCCCTCCCTCCTGGCTGCCTTTCTCATGTCTGTAAAGTACAGCATAATAACTACCATCACGAGCTGCATTTAAGGGTCAGCAGTCACCAAGCTAAGCACTTTGTGCACCTGATGCAGCTGGGCTGCGAGGTGGGTATTGCCTTTCCGGTTTTATAAATGAACTTGAGATTCAGAGAGGTCAGGTCATTTGCCTGAGGACACACAGCCCAAGTCTATCCTTCACACTGGCTCTAACAAACTCCAGGTTGCCCGGTCCTCCCACTCAACGTGTCCTGTGTGCCGAACTATCCACTTACTGGACCCTGTGTCCGCAGGATGTGGTCCAGCCTGAATGACTGGCTGTGGCACGAGAGGTTCTGGCTCCCCCCGAACATCTCATGGGCTCAACTGGAGGACCGTGATGGCCTGGTCTTCCCCCACCCCCGGGACACATTGATGGCTGTGCCCCTGGCGCTGGCCCTGGTGGTCGTTCGCTTCACCTTCGAGAGGTAAGTGACTGTGACGCCCACCCTGCGCTCTCCCTTCTGCAGGGTCACATCCTCACATGTCCCCGGAGGGAGCCTGGCTCTGAGTCAAAGTGCCCTTCTGGCTCCATCCTGCCCCCCACCCCAGCTACTGCCACCCATATTCTGAGGGTCTCAGAGACCCGGGACATGGGCTGCAGGTTTCTGGGAATGCCAGCATCTCGGAAAACAAGTGGGGACCATGGCGGGGGGATGCTCTTGCTTGCTTTACTGACCTGGGATGGGTCTGCAGAGGTCATTCAGTAAGTGAAGGAACTCCCACCCCCCACTCCCTCATCCTTCCTTCCTGTGTGGGTGCCTCTCCTCCCTCCCCAGCGCCCCCCCCCCAACCCTTCCCTTCTTGTTCCTTCCAACACCTTCCCTTTGATCTCCTTTGTAGCCAAAGGAAGGGCTGAGGTACTTCAGCCCCCACTTTGGGACCCCCCTCCACTCACCTCCTGCAGGCGGGTGCCTGGTCCCTGAGTGTATGCTGAACGCCCAGGTTCTTGGTGCCCTCCTGGTTTCTCAGACCCATGGATTTTCAATTATTTCTCACGCGATCCATTCACTGCCCCAGACTGCAGTTCTTCCTCTTTCCCTGGCCCTCCGTCTCCTGGGTCCCTTCCCTCTGCCACGCTCTGCTACCTGACTTGTGCTGTGGTCGCAGCTCCCACATCTGCCCGGCCCCCACGGCCCACCCCACAAGCTTTGCCCCCCTCGGTTCCCCCCTCGATGCCTAGGGGCCCCCTCCCGCTCCCCTTCCTCCATAGCTCATGTGTGATTTCAGATCCCCCATCTTTTTCTAAAAAATATTTATGATCTTCGCTGTGGGATGTGGTATCGTTAGTTCCAGCATGCAGGACCTTTTAGCTGTGGCATGTGGGATCTAGTCCCCTGACTAGGGGTTGAACCTGGGCCCCCTGCATTGGGAGCATGGAGTCTCAGCCACTGGACTGCCAGGGCAGTCCCAGGTCCCCAACCTTCTTTGCGACCCCCTGGGCTTTCTACACCTTGCCTGTCCCACTCACAGGGAGCTTCCTGGAGTCAGGGCTGCCGAGACCCAGGACATGGGGAACCCAGGGCCCATTCTTTGACATTATATTTACCAGACACCCCTGCTCTGAGCAATTTGCGTGTCTTAACTCAGCCCTCATGGCCACCCGGTGAAGTGGTACTGTTATTATCTCCATTTTACAGAAGAGGAAATGGAGGCACAGAGAGGTTAAGTGACCTGCCTGAGGTCACACAGCAGGTAGGTCATCTAGGATAAGGCTTTGCCTGAGGGATTCTGGGAGGCCCAATTCAGCCAGGTGTTGAAGGCTGGGTCTGTTTTCTCACCTACTTAGCCAATGGCTCCTGCTGAGATGGGCATGTTAACTCCTCCCAAAGATATCCCTTGCTTTTCTAATGGGCAATGGGGTTGGCAGTAGCTTTTCTGGGGTCAAACACAGGCAGAGGTTTTCCCCATTAAGTGGATCCTTGGCCTGCCTTTCACATGCTGTGTCACCTGGGGTGGATCTCTGGCCTTTCTCAGCCTCAGTTTGCCTATCAGGACAATGGGAACAATAATAATAGGGTTAAGTGAGCCAGCACACAGGTGGACTTAGATACATGCTTGGCAGATCATAAGTTTTCAATAAATGGCAGTCGTGGGACCTCTCTAGTGGTCCAGTGCTTAGGAGTCCACGGTTCAGCTGCAGAGGGCCGGGGTTCCATCCCTTGTTGGGGAACTAGGATCCAGCATGACCTGAGGCACAGCCAAAAAAAAAACCCATGGCAGTCATGTCCCATTCCTGCCTCCTCCCTCCCTGCCTCCCAGCACGAGTGAGTCTGGAATGAGTCCCTTGCTGAGCTGCCCTGAACCTCAGTTTCCCCCAATGAAAGGTGGTATTGATATGGTGGACATGCCCTTTGGTCCTGACCCTGGTCTTGGAGGACCGCTGTGGGCACTGTGATGATTGCCTCACCAGGGTCCCAGCTCCTCCAAATGTCCACAAGGGAGGAGGTGATGCTGGGAGGGAGGAGGCCTGAGAAGGAGCAGACCTGCTCCTGCCTTTGGGGGACCCCCAGCCAGGCGGTGGGGGGGGGGGGGCAGCGCATATCAGAACTCAGGCAGTGAGGGGCTGCTCATCCCTGTTTTGGGATGGAGTGAAGGTGCCTGCTCTTCAGTCCCTAAGCTATATCCAACTCTGCCACCCCATGAACTGCAGCATACCAGGCTTCCCTGTCCTTCACTATGTCCCGGAATTTGCTCAGACTCATGTCCATTGAGTCGATGATGCCATCCATCCATCTCATCCTCTGCATCCCCCTTCTCCTTCTGCTTTCAATCTTTCCCAGCATCAGGGTCTTTTCTATTGATTCAGCTCTTCACATGAGGTGGCCAAACTATTGGAGTTTCAGCATCAGTCCTTTCAATGAATATTCAGGATTGAATTCCTTTAGGATTGACTGGTTTGATCTCCTTGCAGTCCACGGGACTCTCAAGAATCTTCTCAAGCACCACAATTCCAAAGCATCAATTCTTCGACGCTCAGCCTTCTTTATAGTCCAACTCTCACATCCAAAAGTGCCTGGGTACCACCAAAGTTGATCACCTCACATCCTGAAGACCAATCCAACTGCCTTTTTTTTTTTTTTTTTAATTTTTGGCCATACCCTGAGGCATGTAAGACTTTAGTACCCATACCAGAGATCGAACCTATGCCCCCACTGTTGGAAGATGGAGTCCTAACCACTGGACCACCAAGGAAGCCCCCAGCTGTCTTTCTTAGGTTGTGCCCATTGCAACAGCCGGGCTACCCACTGCAGGCTCCCAAACTGCGGCCTGGCCCCAATGACCCCCATTTCCCCACCTAGACTGACAAGCTTTGTCTCCTTCCGCACCCAGATTCGTTGGCCTGCCCCTGAGCCGGTGGCTGGGCGTGCGGAACCAGACCAGGAGGCCAGCGAAGCCCAATGCCACGCTGGAGAAGTACTTCCTAATGAAAGGGCGGAAACCCACGGAGGTGAGATCCCTGACCCTCTCCTCCATCCCCGTCAGCCTGCTTGGGTGCCCTGGGGGTAGTTCTGGAAGGGGTGCAAGAAAACCCCCACCCCCAGCCCCTTGAATCCCAAGTCCCATCAGCCTGTGAGCAGGACTGGGTTTTGGTTTTTATTCTTATTCGTGGCTGCGCTGGTTCTTTTGTTGCTATGCACAGGCTTTCTCTGCTTGTGGTGAGTGGAGGGAGGGCTGCCCTCTAGTTGCAGTGTGCAGGCATCTCACTGTTTTGGCCTCTCTCGTGGCGGAGCACAGGCTTTAGGGCACTCGGGCTTTTGGCACATGGGTCTGGTGGCCCTGAGGCACGTGGAATCTTCCTGGACCAGGGACTGAACCTGTGTTCCCTGTGTTGGCAGACGGATTTTTAACTGTTAGACCACTAGGGAAGTCCCAGGGCTGGGTTTTTATAAGGCCTGTTTTGGGGGGCTCCACCCTATGGACTTCCCCATGGCCCAGCAGTAACAAATCCACCTGCCAATGCAGGAGACTTGGGTTCAATCCCTGGGTTTGGGAAGATTCCCTGGAGGAGGAAATGGCAACCCACTCCAGTATTCCTGCTGGAGAATCCCAAAAGAGCTGGACATGACTGAAGCGACTGAGTACGCACACAACATCCTGTGAAACCCCCTATCCCCCTATCAACATAGGGAGACCACCCCACAGGTGAGGTTTAGGACCACAGCGTGGAGAGGGGTATGCAGAGCTGGGTTCTGGCTGTCCTAGGACAGCGGCAGGAGGCCACCTCTGTGACCCTGGCCCCCATCACCCGCTCTCCAGTCCCAGATGAACCTCCTGGCCACCCAGTGTGGCCTCACGCTGCGGCAGACTCAGTGCTGGTTCCGGAGACGCCGGAACCAGGACCGGCCCTGCCTGACCAAGAAGTTCTGTGAGGCCAGGTAAGCCCAGGGTGGGGCTGGTAAGGGGGTGTCTGGGGGTGCAGTGAGGGGGGATCTGCTCCTTTGGCAGCTGCTTCATGGGCTCCCTCCCCACCTGCAGCTGGAGGTTTGCTTTCTATCTGTGCTCCTTCATCAGTGGAACCATGGTTCTGTATCACGTGAGTGTACCTGATGGCTTACCTGCTGTGTATCCCACAAGCGCCTACTATGTGCTGGGCCCAGATTGGATTGGGGAGGGGTGTGTGGGGCTCGGGCAGATGGGGAAACATGCAAAGGCACAGGGAGGGCGGAAGGAACATGGCGAGGTTATGGTGAATGTTCACTTGATGGGTGGCCTGTTGAGGACCTACTGTGTGTCGAGACTGGGGATTCTGAATAACAAGCCGCTGGTGTACAGTGAGAGGGCCTTCCAGGTGGTGCCAATGGTAAAGAACCCACTTGCCAATGCAGGAGACACAAGAGATGCGGGTCCAATCCCTGGGTCGGGAAGATCCCCTGGAGGAGGGCATGGCAACCCACTCCAGTATTCTTGCCTGGAGAATCCCATGGACAGAGGAGCCTGGCGGGCTACAGTCCTTAGGGTCACAAAGGGTTAGACACAACTGAAGTGACTTAGCACACACACACTCCTGCGCACACCCGACAGTGAGGGCAGAGCTGTAGTTGACCCGAAACAGCCAGCCTGAGTGCAAGCAGCACATTGAGAGCCCGGGAGCCCGGGAGGAGGACCCAGGCCTGGGGTGGGAGTTTTGGGTGCTAACCTTTGGACATCCTCAGACTCCCCCCGTCCCTGCAGGAGTCGTGGCTGTGGACGCCGGTCACATGCTGGGAAAATTACCCACATCAGGTGAGTGCCAGGGGGTGTTTGGAGGCTGGTGGGAAGATCAGCATGGTCAGAGTTCCTGTGGTCACAGGCAGGAGAGCCAAAGCTGGACATCCCACCATCATTCTCCTCTGAGTCCCACTTTATTTTTTGGCTCCCTTGTGGAATGGAGAGGGGCCAGGAGTCAGGACACTCAGAGCAGGAAACCACAAAACCACTGCCCTTGGTTACCTCTACGGACAGGGAGCTCATGCCTTCCTCACTCATTGGGAGTCAAGTGTGGTGGGTTTGAGCAAATGGAGAGGGCCCTGCCCCATACCCCATGCCCTGTGGGAGCCTCCACTCCCCACAGCTAACCTTGCACCCCTGCCACAGCCCATGAAGCCAGGCCTGTACCACTGGTACCTCTTGGAGCTGAGTTTCTACGTCTCTCTGCTGATGACACTGCCCTTTGACACCAAGCGCAAGGTGAGGTCAGGCCAAGAGTCTGGATAGGGAAGTGATGCCCTGGGATGATTATGACACAGTTCCAGGTGGGGAGGGGTGGCCTTATCCCACAGCCCAAGAACCTTGGTGCCTCAGGGAGGTGGCATGGTATCCATCCTCCAAACAACCCCCCTGGGAGGGCCTGCTCCAGCCACCCAGCGTCATCCCGGCTGTGACTGTCTCTCTCACACAGGACTTCAAGGAGCAGGTGATTCATCACTTCGTGACCATCATCCTGATCAGCTTCTCCTATAGCTTGAATCTGATGCGCATCGGCTCCCTGGTGCTGCTGTTGCATGACTCCTCCGACTACCTGCTGGAGGTGGGCTGGGCCCAGCCTGACCCCTCCCGGCTTCCACCCGCCCCCGGCCCCCCACCCTCCCACGTGCCCCTGGGGTTGAGGTCCCACCCCTGTCACCCCCTGTCTGCAGGGAGCTGAGGCCCCCACCCCATGTCAGTCTTCAGAGAGGTCAGGCCCCCACCCCGTCACCCCTGCAGATCGCACTTTACCTGTCTAGGCAGTTCCTAGAGATAAAACCCTGCCCCAACTCACCTGGCCCAGCCCCGGGGCACTTTTTCCCTGGGAGGAGGCCCCACCATTTCTTGGCCCTGCCCTTCCCACGTCTATTTCTCTCTGCTACCCTCCCCAGGCCAGTAAATTGTTCAACTACACACACTGGCGGCGCCTGTGCGACACTCTTTTCATCATCTTCGCACTGGTTTTTTTCTACACTCGCCTCGTGCTCTTTCCCACCCAGTGAGTCAGCCCTTCCGCGGTGGGGGTGGGGGGTGGAGGTGGCTGAGATGTGGGTCTGCCTCACCGTCGGTTCTTGGGTTCCCCAATCCAGGGAACTGGGGTTGTTGGCCGGGAGGCTTCTAGGAGGAGGCAGGGAAAGGCGTTTCCAACACAGGACACAGCCTATGCAAAGGCCCAGAGGTAGGCAAACAGAGCACTGGGCTTAGTCATCATCAGCCCTGGGTGCCTGGAACATGGACTGGGAGACCGGGTCGGGTCCCCGTTTGGTCAAGTCTTTGCCTGGGAATTTGCTGAGCCTCCCACTTCCCCCCTCTTTCACACCAGCAGAGGGAACAGCGGGAAGGTGCTGTGGAGCTGACACTGGTGGATGCAGAAGTATAATAGGCAAACAAGTGGGCTACAGAATATGTGCAGCAGTGATTGTGCTAAAGAGAAGAAAAGTCAGGAAGGGCACAGGAACTGCGTGGAGAGTTGGAATTAAGGTGGTCGGAGAAGGCCTCACTGACAGTATTCATAGAGGCAGGACCGTGTCCGGCATGTTGGAAGAACAGAGAGAAGACCCCTGTGGCGGAAGCAGAGGGAGAGAGGGAGGAAGTGAAGGCAGAGTGTGGCAGGACAGAGGATGCAGGGCTTTGGGGAGAAATTGGGTCTTTCTCCCAAGGCGGGTGGGAGCCCTGAGTAGAGGACTAGAGGGACCCGATGTGAGTTCTCACAGGCTCCCTCTGGCGGCTACAGGGGGAATAGCTGGTAGGAGGCTGGGGCTGAAGCTGGGGGCCAGGCCCAGACGACAGCACTGGTCCAGGTAGCCAATGATGGGGCAGGACCAGGGCAGGTGAGAGAAGTGTGTGGGCTCAAGGAGATGACGCGAGGGTCATGAGATGGGAAGGGAATGGGGTCAGAGTTGTTGCTTGAGGAACAGGAGCTTAGCTGTGACTGTGCTGGGTTTAAGGGGCTGGCAACACCCCCAGTCACCACCACAGCCACCGAAAAGTGGAGGAAGCGGTGAACACTAGCCTGGGGTCCTGGGGAGAGGGGTAAATGTTCAGTGTTTTCATCCACAAGACTGGATGGCGTCACCGGAGACTAGGTGTTGACAGAGAGCCCCAATTCTGGGGTTGCAGGTCAGGGGAACCTGCAGAGGAGATGGAGCGGGAGCAGTCATGAAGTGGGGACCTGGGAGTGTGGGTCCCTGAAGGCTCAAGGGGAAAGAGCAGGGCCAGGCCAGGTGCCTCTGCTCTCTGATCAAGGCAGGTCACTGATGACCCTGCAGCTGATCTGAGTGGAGGTGGCAGTGGGGGAAATGACGGGGGCCTGAGAAGGTGTGAAAGGACCACCCAGGAGAGCTACTGGGACACTAAGCTCCCCCTTGGGGTTCATGCTTGTGGCTAGCCAATCGGCCAGCTTGTGCATTCTATGAGTTTAATATAACCAGGTAAGGGGATGACTAAACTGCCCAACTGAAGAGCACAGGCATTATTCTTTGATGGGAAGAGGGTAATGGGGAGCCATAGAAGGTTCTAGAGCAGGAAAGGTCATGCAAGTTAAGAGATTCCCAGGACTGGGTGCTATAGCAGCCAGTAAAGCCCTGCCTCTCCCTCCCCCCCACCCACCATAGGATCCTCTATACCACGTACTACGAGTCCATTGCCAACCTGGGCCCCTTCTTCGGCTACTACTTCTTGAACATACTTCTGGTGGTTCTACAGCTGCTACACGTGTTCTGGTCTTGCCTCATCCTCCGCATGATCTACAGCTTCATAAAGAAAGGCCAGGTAGGGAGTCTGGTGGTTAAGACTCCACGCTGCCAATGCAGGGGGCGCAGGTTCAATCTCTGGTCGGCGGAACTAAGATCCCCTGTGCGGTGCTTGGGGACAAAAAAAAGTTAATTAATTAATTAATTAATTTTTAAAAGAAATGAAAGACCAGGTAGGGTCGGGGTGGTGTTGGCTAGCGGCATGCCTTCCTGGGGCCCCAGCCAAGCCAGTTCCCTGCCTCCTCTTCCCCAGATGGAGAAGGATGTTCGCAGTGACGTGGAGGAGTTAGACTCCAGCGATGGGGAGGCGGCCGAGGAGTGTCCTCAGATGAAGAATGGGGCGGCGCAGCGGTCCGGAGCAGCCCCCACTGACGGCCCTCGGAGCCGGGCATCCAGTCGCATGGCCAACGGGCACACACCAGACACGTAGCCGGCCAGAGGACTGGCCGCGAGGGGGCCCCCAGCGCCGGGCAGCTCCGATCTGTGGGGCAGCTGGACTGGGGAATCTCGGGCAGACTTTGTGGAGACGGGGAGGGCCCCAGGTGGGTGGGGCTGATGATCAGTCTCCAGCCCCTTCCTTCAACCCACCCTCCCACCTTCTCTGAGCAACCGACGGAGCTGCGGGAAGGGAGGAGGGGCGGCGGGCAGCTACACGGACGCTGCAGCCCGCCAGCGCCACCTGCAGGCTGCAGGCTGGCAACTGTAAAGAGCCCCGGGACGAAAGGGGTCCAATAAACCTTGACCCGAACCAGCTTCTCTGCCTGAGAGCTTGTGTCCCCCTTACAGCTCCTTATCCATCCCCAGAGGACCCAAGGCAACGAGGACTTTCATACCCCACCAGTGGGACCTTCAATTGCCACCCCAAGACACATGCTCACCCCTTGGGGACCCAGAGAGCAAGCAGGGCGTAGGGACCCCCTTGGCTGAGTCCCCAACTGCCAGCCAGCACCTGAGCCAAGCCATCTCCTCCTACACCAGGGCAGCCCTGCATTAGCTCCTCACAGACCCTGAGTACAGATGAGCAGGTACTGAGCTCAGACAGGTGGAGTCCTTTGCCCAAGCTCACACAGGCCCAAGCAGATGGGCAGAGGGGAGACTCACGCCTGTTTCTGCAGCTCCCTCTCAAGGCCATCCTCAAGGTCCCCAGGACCTCCCTGGAGACAGTGAAATAGTGGTGGGGGGTGGGGGGGAAACTTCCTGCAGGCTTCCTTCTCAAGGGTCCACCTGGGAGAATTCAGCATCTCCTTACAAGCTATGCAGGAGGGTACCCCCACCCCAGTGCCCCAGAAATCATAGCCACAAGGTTCCATGCAGGACCAGAAAGTGCTGCCTCCCGGGAACACCAGAGAAGGGGTTGGAGAAGAGAAAGGGTAGGGGAACCGATCTTGCCTTCTGTGCTTCTCAGCAAAGCGGAGAGGATGGGAGCAGGAAGAGATGGCAGAGGAGAAAGGCTGCTGCTCCGTGTCCACTGAGAGCCAAGGACAAGGGGAGAGGAGGGCAGAGAAGAGAGTCATGTGATCCAGCAACCCCAATCCCGGGCGTATATCCAGGCGAAACAAAGTCAAAAGGATCCGTGCACCCCTGCTTACAGCAGTGCTGTTTACAGTGGCAAGACATGGAAACAACCAGAGTGTCCGTCCACAGATAAGTGGACAGAAAAGATGTATGCATACACAATGGAATATTACCCATAAAAAAGGATGAGATAATGCCATCTGTAGGAACCCGGGTAGACCTAGAGGTTATCTAGATAGACCTAAAGTACAAAAGGGAAAGAGTCACTCAGTCATGTCTGACTCTTTGCAACCTCATGGACTGTAGCCCACCAGGCTCCCCTGTCCTTGGAATTCTCCAGGCAAGAATACTGGAGTGGGTAGCCATTCCCTTCTCTAGGGGATCTTCCTGACCCAGGGATCAGCTTGGGTCTCCTGCATTGCAGGCGGATTCTTTAATGTCTGAATCACTTACATGTGGAATCTAAAATATGACACAAATGAACTTATATTTACGAAACAAATAGACTCAAGGTGGCAGGAGAGAGACATATTGGAAGTTTGGGATTGGCAGGTGCAACCTATTATACAGAGGATGGGTCAACAGTAAGGTCTTACTGTATAGCACAGGGAACTATATTTAACGTCCTGTGATAAACCATGATGGAAAAGAATATGAAAAAATATACATATCTAAATTACCTTACTATACAACAGAAATTAACACAACTTTGTAAATCAACTATACATCAATAATGTAAAAAAAAAAAAAAGAGGCAGGTGTTAGAGATGCCAGAAAGAGGGACTGAAAAGATGAGAAGGGAAACAGTAAGAACAGCTGAGATGGCATGGGAAGGAACAAAGAGGAAAAGAGAAGGGACGGTGTGGGAGGTAGGAGAAAAGGAGGCATCAGAGAGAACAGAGAGAAGAGGAGGGAGAGAAGACTAGGGGCTTGGTGGATGCTGTCTCTGAAGATGCGTGACCTAGAGGGAAGAACAGAGAGGAGAGGAGAAACAGGGGAAAAGGAAAAGAATAACAAGCTGTGAAGGGTTGTCACACAGAAATGTGAATGAGGAAATGTGATGAGAAAGAATCAGGTCCTGAGGGGAGGAAAGAGGGATGAAAAGATGCGCAGTGGTCCACACGGGAGAGATGTGAATAAGCTGGGAGGAGAAAAAAAGATGTGCAGGCTCCCTTATCTGAGCAAAGCGCAAATTAAACCGACGATGAATGCCGGTTCTACTTGCTGTCCTAGCTAAAACAGTGACGGCACCCTCTGTGGGTGAGACTTGCAGGGAAAAAGGATCTGACCTGGACCATGCCCCACCCCAACCCACTCCACCTGTGTGTGTGGAGTGCACACACACACACACACACACACCCTGGGTGTTTTGGCAATTAACAGAAGGGCTAACGCCTTACCTCTTTATCCCCAAAGATACATCCAGTTTTTCCTACATCTACAGCTCAGTCAGAAAAGGACAACTGACCTAAAAAAAAAACAGAAGCAAAAACTACAATGGGCATTTACAGTAGAGATCTTGCTGTTGTTGTCTAGTTGTTAAGTCATGCCCAACTCTTTGCGACCCCATGGACTGTAGCCCGAGAGGCTCATCTGTCCATGGGATTTCCCAGGCAAGAACACTGGAGTGGGTTGTGATACTTACAGCCAATAAGCATGTGAAGACATACTCAAATCCCAGTGTTAATCAGGGAAACGCAAAGCAAGACGGTGAGATACAATTTCAGACCCATTCAGTTGTCAAAAATAAATGGGCCAAAGCAAATGTTGGAGAAGATGGGAATCAATAACCTCACATATAGGGCTTTCTCTGGTGGTCTAGTGGATACAAATCTTCCTGCCAATGCCAGGGGCATGGGTTTGGTCCTGGGTCCAGGAAAGATCACACATGCTGCAGGGCAGCTAAGCCCACACACCACAAGTACTGAGCTGGAGTGCCTAGAGCCTGTGCTCTGCAACGAGAGAAGCCACGGCAGTGGGAAGCCCGGGCACCTCAGGAAGGAGTAGCCCCTGCTCGCCACAACTACAGAAAGTCCACATGTAGCAACAAAGACCCAGCGCAGCCAAAAATAAAAACCAACTTTTAAAAATTAAAAAAAATATTTAAATAACCTCACATGGGGGTTATAAATTGGCACAACCATTCAGGATCTATAAAGTTCAGAAACAACGCAAACAAAATGATGTATGGTTTAGGCGTGAACATCTGTTAGTAGAATTATTTCTGTAATAAACAGAAAACAAACACAAAATTCAGAAAATTCATGTTGCTTTTGATCTTGGGAGTCAGGGGGATGGGATTCAGGTAGATTTAAAGTACTAGCACTGTTGTAGCTTTTGAAGTAGTGGGGTGTACAGACAGATACTCATTCTATTATTAATAAATACAACTTAAAAGGGACATGCAAAAAGACAACCAGCAGGATGGGAGAAAATATTCACAAATCATATACCTGAAAAGAGTCTAGTACATAGCATATATAAAGAACACTCACAACTCAACAACAACCAAACATTTTAAAGATGAACAAAGGACTTCAGTTGACTTTCCTCTTGGAGTTGGTTGCCATTTCCTGCTCCAGGGCATCTTCCTAATTCAGGGACCAAACCCGCCTTTCCTGCATCTTCTCCATTGGCAGGAGGATTCTCCTGCTGAGCCACCAAGAAAGTCCAACTGATACAACAGTATTATCCAAACTACAGACCATCAGAGTTTTCCAACTGTCCCCCTTATATGCTATATAGGATGCAACCCAGGGTCACATGATGCATTTAGTTATCCTTTGTCTCATCAATTATCTTTTTTAATTTCATCTAATCTGGAAGGATTCCTCAGGTTCTATGTCTTGAGTAACTTTGCGTCCTGATCAACAGAAGTCCGTTCTCTTTGGATACACGCTCTTATCATGTCCTACGTGAATACATGATGTCCCAAACACGGGACTCAATCAGGCTCGATGAGGTTGTGGCTCATCGGTGGAAGGCAAGACTGTGTGGAGCCTGCTGGGTGGAGCTGAGGTCTCTGAGAGCCTCCATAGAAACCTAAAAGCCACTAAGAGGAATTCAGGGACATCCAAGGGGAAACAGGAATGGGAGCAGAGTTGCAGCTGCAGGAACAAAGGGGAAGGACCAGTCTGGACTCCCCCAGGGCCAGCTGGCAAACAGGGATCCGGGGCTTCTCACACATGCAGATGCCCCCTGCCCCCTAACAAGGAATCCTGCTTCTAGTGCTGCCCCCTGCCTCCGGCCAGTCCTCCTTCCTATGCCTACAGGCTTGCCCTTTCTCTCGGACATGCAGACACCACCAGTGCCTTCAGCCTCACCCACCTCAACCCAGGCAGTGAGCACCTCTGCTTCCTGAAAGGGGATAGTAGAATTCCAGCCTGCCTCCCAGAGAGAAGCAAGATTAGGGCATCAGGTCTTTCGTCTGTTCACCTGCCTCTGATACAAGACAGCACTCCTGGATCTTGCCTGACCTGAGGCTGTCCTGTCCATCTAGTGCCAGGTGCCCTTGGCCTACTAGGCCCTCAGGATGAATTAGGAATTCTGGTAATTTTCATTCACTGCCGCTTACACCCTGCACCTGCTCATGTTTGTTCCTCCGTGTGTATTCTCATGGGTCCTGTGGGCTTGTGCATATTATCACATGTTTGTTGCATGCTTTCCCCACAGAGGATATGTTTTATTCTACAGAGAATGTGTGTGTGCATCTTTATAGGGGGCCGATATGGAAGGCCCACGAGTCTTCTCCAAGGTGCTGAAAGCTCACCATTCAAGACCCACATCCACTCAGCCTCCCAACTGAGTTACTCCTCCAGGAAGACTTCTTGGATTGGCCCCACCTCCTCTTCAACTGGGGGGGGGGGTGGGGGATGCGACATCCACTGCCTATGCCTTCAAGCCCCCAGGCTCCCT